AGTTCACAGTTAACACTGACAATTGCTAACCAAATTTTTTCAAACGTAAAAACTGCCATTTGGCGGCAATCAGATATCACACAAGTAATTTTTAAGCAAAACACAAAACCGACTTCAAATCTCATAAAAAATTAAGATTATCGTTAATTTCTTCACGATCCAATTATCGAATTTAAACCAAATTAGTATGGGACCACCTGTAAGGTATAAAGACAAACCATGAGCGATTTCACATATTTACTTAAATACATACATAAAAGTTATCTTAAGAAAATTTGGGTAGGTATATGCCAAAGGCGTGTGTGTGCTTGTGATTAATAAAAAAAAATCTTCCTCTTGATTGGCGCTGTAAACGGTTTAACGATTTTGGTGGAGTTCAACAAAGCACGGCAGTCGCTTCTCTTTTGTGCCAGTTGGAAATTACTATTCTCCACGTCATATTTTTAATGCAGACGAGGCGTCCCTCTTGTCGCTTGCAATCGCTTTGTTTTTCTTCCAGCTTAACCCGAGTTGCTTCAAATCTCGGTCGACTGCTCTTCGTCACGTTTCACGCGGTCTGCCAGGGGGCCTGCCTCTGCCAGTTAAGGGGTTCCATTCCATAGCCTTCTTTGCAATAGTGCCGTCTTTTTTGCGCAAGATTTGACGTATGCACTTCCATTTCTATATCCGGATTTCTTGCAGGCATTTTAGATGTCTCTGGGGTAATCATTTTGGTCTAAGTGTCAGAATGTCATCCTTACCTCCGTATCCTGGTCATGATGCAGCCATCTTAAGGTTCCAGGCACCCTGCTGCTGGCCCTTATCGGGATAAGAACTTGAGCCGTTGATCCATAGAGGGCTCTTCCGCCAAAATCTCCTATACTCGAGAATCCAGCAATCCTCTAGCGGCCCAGCATGTTGTCCAAGTCTGCCAATAGTCTGTCAGTACACCAACTAGAATTGAGATATCCGGCTTCGCAAGCCTAAGAAGAGCACTAGACCGGCCGGTCCATCCTCGACCAGAATGACCTCTACTTTGGCCACAGTTTCCTGCGATAGCACTATGGTTTGGTACCCAAGCAAGTCTGGCAAAGTAATATTCGGATGCTATCGAAAGTGAATTAAGGCATTCCCCACCAAGCTTCGAGCGTATCGTAACTGAGCCCAGGGCTGTGATTACTGCCTGGCTGTCTGAGTAGAGGTGAACCTCCCTTACCACCATCGCGCATAACAGTAGACAGTCGACTGCTTCCTTAATGGCAGCAACCTCCTCCTCAAAAACACTACAGAGTTCTGGAAGCCTAAATTTAAGGTTGATCGAGAGCTCCTTGGAAAAGACCCCCTCCACCGACCCTTCCGTCAAGCTTCGACCCATCCGGGTAAAAGTGCACCGGTGACCCCTCCAACCACTGCCCTCCATCTACTCATCCCTATATGAGATGTGAGCCAACTGGTGCCAGGCTGGGCATGCAATTATCCGTATTACCCGGGATGAAATCGAAGCCCACGAGGATACTAGATTGGCCAGACCCGAATCCGACAGGCAACCAGTGCTCTAAGTCTGCCCGCCGCCCTTGCTGCACCCGTTTTACCTGAGATATCGACAGGCTATATGTTAAGCATGACGTTATGAGCCAGAGTGGGAGTGGTCCTAAGCGTCCCACTGATTCCAGTGAGGGCAGCTCTTAGCACTAGCTCCAGCCTACTGAGTAACTTAACATTCTCCAGTGCATTCCACCAGACGTGAACTCCTTTAAACATATTGGGCTTGACTAAGGTTTTATAGAGCCAAGAAATAACCTTGGGAGAAAGGCCCCCTCACTATGCTACTTATTTGCATAAGTAATCACCCAGCACCCCCTGCTCGCCATCTCCTTTAGTAGGTTGTTTACGACCACAATCCACAGAAGGGGAGAAAGAACTCTACCCTGGGGCGTGGCCCTGTTTACCCTGCGCTGGACGGTGGCACTCCCCACACTTCGCCGCGACAGTCCTGTCAGTTATTATGCGGTGTATGAGCCTAACAAAGTCAGTTTTGAGCCCAAACTTAATCAGGGATCTGACTATTGCCCCCGATAGTACATTGTTAAAAGTGCCTTCTATATCGAGAAAGGCACCCACAGTTTGGTCTTTATATATGAAGTCTTCCTCAATCGAACTAGCAATTATGTGCAGGGCGGTCTCGATCTAAATACCCTTGATTAATGCATGTTGAGCTCCCGAAGGCGCGCGGGAGGGATCCCGTTCCTAATGTGCAGATCAACGAGCCTCTCCAGAGTTTTAGGTAAAAGCTAAGAGAGGCTGATTGTCCCCAGAAGTCCTTGGGAGAGATGTGAGAGTCATTTTCCCTTTCAGTCCGAATAGATGTTGCTCCGACTATATTATTTAGTTCAGAATTATCGCTGAAGTTTGAAATGGGTCTAGAGTCTAGCTTCCTAAATTTTACCATTCGCTCTTAACGAGGATTTTTGTCGAAACTTGTTATCAAAGCAGACAGATAAGATGTTTAGCTAGACATCATTTACGCTAGCCAGTAATTTGTCGCAAGAAAGACCAAAAGAGCTTTAGGAGCTTTGCAGAGCTTGGAGGGAAAGACCTTCCCACGTTTTCCATTTTGCTTTTGGACGTGGTTTTGGCCAGGATTCGTCACTATATCGTAGCTCCGAAGAAAGTAATGGGTCTTATGTCAGCTGTGACAGCTGATGCTCTATACCTGTACATACTTACGTGACTACAAGTCATAGCATCTGCCTGTATGCATTTTTTTAATATTACGGGTCCGTTAAAGCTAGCAGAACATGAATATATACAGTCATATGAAAAATAAAAGGGATGCGACATTTGGACCAGTTTTGGCTAATTTTTTTTTTTTTTTGTAATGTTTATTATTTTTATATAAAAATACAACTCATTAAAATTCTACAAAATTTTAAAACAAGAGCAAACTTTATATTAAGAATTTCTAGAAAAATTTTAAGTATGCAGTTTTATAGCCCATTAAATTCTAGCAAGTTTCAAGTGGCAAAGAATTCGCGTTAATTTTTGATAATTTTTTCGCCGATGGTGTTATTCTTTTCTTGCATATAAATTGCCGACCATACTTTGCATGGAGGAAAATGCTTGACAGCGTCAGCAAAAAAAATTATCAAAAATCAACGCGAATTTTTAACCACTTGAAACTTGCGCTTTATTGAGCTAGAATTTAATGGGTGAAAAACTGCATGCTTAGAATTTTTTCTAAAAATTCTCAATAAAAAGTTTGTTGTAAAATTGTTCGAATTTTTCTATAAAGTTTGAAATTTAAGATTTTATGGGTTTTGTTAGTTAATGAGCTAAATTTTTGTAAGAAAATAATAAAAATAAAACAAACAAAAGAAAAATAGTCAAAATGTCGTGGTGGCCCAATTATTTTCCACATGACGGGTCAATTTGTATGAGAGATTTTTTCGGCTATGCGCGTATAGCACATGCCGATTCTATGTTTAATTCTAAGCAAATTTGCCGAAGTAACCGTGGGGTCTAAAATCAATTTGGAGTTTGCGAAAGTAGGTTTCTTAGAATTTCGCCGTAGTGTCGTAAAGAAGTGCTTAAATTTTGTACAAATACAAAAATGCTATAAGGATTTTTTTGGAAATGGATTTCTGCACACATCTTTTTCTTAAAACTTCCACGAGAGGGAGCAACAGTGAAAATTTCCACATTTTCTTCGAAACCTATTTTCGCGATTTGGAAGAGTCCAAATTGATTTTAGATCCATGGTTACTTCGGCAAATTTGCTTAGAATTGCACACAGAAGCGTTCTGTACTATATGCGCATAGTTAGTCAAAAAAATGTACCCGTCTTACTTGACCTATGCACATTGTACGTAATGAAGGCTTGTACTATATTTTTATTTCTAAAATATTTAAGTATGTATGGCCACTGTAACGACTATGCATTCTGCGAAGGGTGCAGCAAATTTATGCACAACTACATGTGCCGTAACGATATAAGGGCTGAACTAATGAATGCAGCAAATGGATAAATTACAATCAATTTACCGCGCGCCTTCGCCTTTAATGGCATCGATTGACAAATTGCTATCAAATTAATTTAATTAAAGCCAAATAGTTCAATGACTGCTAATCGATTTGTAATGATTTAAACGCACATACGCACACACTTTTGGTATAATACTTAAGTATTATTGTAATATAAATAGTGTAATAAAGTTATAAATAAGTATTAATTTAGGAAAAATAAGTGATTCGATTTGCGCACAAGAATAACACGCATTCTCGTACAATAACAAAATGAACAGGACATATTGGCATACAGTGTGTATGTATGTGCTTATAGATAAGTAAATACATACATACATACTATACATACATAGGTACTTGCACTCAAACATACATGTATACAAATGTAAAATTAAATACTATATTTACTCATGCAAACATGCAAACATTTGCTACTCTACACGTGCATACATACATACATACATACATACATAAACACGCTTTTCCAAGCATCTCTGTCTGATATTGAAATTTAACTAACTCATAATTATTTTATTTTTCAAATATTTCTCCATCTAATTCTCATGTTTTACAACGTACGCGATAAAAATGTGCCAATCTGCGATGTCCTAAAAAAAAAATTAAACAACAACAACACCACAACATCCATCAACCGCATATATGTAAACGTGCACTCAACACCACACATCTAACCGAAACAACGAAAACGCTCAAATAAATTTTGTTATGACTACAAAATGTAAAAATATTTGCAAATTGCTCTCGAATTGCTTTTCATGTTGTACTTTTATGCGGCACTGTAAATGTAAAATACAAACCAAATGAAACTCTATATAATGTATGGAACACATCTCTTCAAATCGTAATACTTGCAACAACAACCATACTCGCATGCCGGGCCACATATCTATCCATACAAAAAAAAAAAAAAAAAAAAAACACACACACACTTACTCACGCAAAACGATTTTTCACCAAAATGGACAATCACTCAACAGCAACAAGAACAGGATCCCACAAATTTGTACATCGCAAATTTGCCACCACATTTCAAGGAGACAGACTTGGAGAATATGCTCTCGAAATATGGTCAAGTTGTGTCTACTCGCATATTGCGCGATCAGCAAATGAATTCAAAAGGTGAGTGAGTTTTGCAAAATGCCGCCAAATTTGCTTACATACACACTATTTATTTATAAAAAAAAAAAAAAAATTTAATATTTTTTAAAATAAAATATTTTTAGAATTTTTTTTGTAAATATTTTATCTTCCTTTATTGTTTAGGCGTTGGCTTCGCACGCATGGAGAGTCGCGAGAAATGCGAACAAATTATACAAATATTTAATGGTAATACAATACAGGGTGCCAAAGATCCACTTTTGGTTAAATTTGCCGATGGTGGTCCAAAAAAGAAGAATCTCTACAAGAATCCCGATCCGAATGCGCGAACGTGGCGTGATCCCGCCGAAGGCATACCGGTCACCTACGATCCGACAATGCAACAAAATGGTGTTAGTGTTAATGTTGGTACACCAATCGGTGTGCCGTATTCACGTTTTGGTGCACCGCCAGTTAGTAGTTACCCAATGACAGCTGGCTCACAATGGATACCAGGCTATATGATGACGCAACCAATACCTCAAGTTGAGGATCAGGTGAGTTAGTTTAGAAATTAATGGACATATTTATTTACAAATATACTACTATGTATATTTAAAGACAAACTACTTAAAATGCCAAAAATAAAAGAGTGCTACAAGCAAATGCAAAAGGGCTGTTCCAGAAAAAAATTTGTGTCATCATCCGTACATGTCCAGTCCCGCAAAATAGTCTGACTATGTTCATGGACTGCAAAGGACATACAGTTCACCTTATCATCGTCTTCGGTACCTGTCGCAAACTGAACCACTGTCGTTGGCTAGAATAGTTCTTTCGAATTCTCCCATCGTTCGAACACGCCCCATCTCAGCAAATTTTGCAAGAATGCTCTGTCTCATCTGCCGATATATTGAATTTACATTGAGATGGGTCATTCTCGAAGCAGCAGCTGGGATAGGCCGTTTTTTTAATAAATTTTGAGATTGTGCGTTCTTCAACCAAACTGTGAAATACCCAAGGCAGACGAAGCTCTGCCGCGTCCACGTCAAGTGGTTATGTTCCCAAAACGGCATTCACATGTCGAGAGTCAGTGGAAGTCAAGACCGACTTGATGTGAATTCCTTTTATGGCCTGTCGGTATGCTGTCGGGTCCAGAGGTTGCTTTAGAAACCTCTTGACTTCATCCGTAGGTCTTATAGGTGCCTTCTGACGTGCGTAGGCGAGCGTCTGTTCGGGTGCCCACTTCTGCGGCACTCTACTAATAACTGCTTACAGAGCATCGTATTGTGCTTCCTCACTGGGAGCATTTGAGCCTCGTCGTGAAGTTGGTGCTGTGGCGACATCAGAAGGCATCCAGTCGCCGTCCGGAATGCCGTGTTCTGGCATGTTTGTAGCTACGTCAACTTCGTCCTGTTAGTCCCCGGTGATTACAAGGGCGTTACATAGTTTAGAACCGGTCGGCAAATTGCCTTGTATGTTGCCGAAACATCGTTTCTTTGTCTTGGCACCAGGTGCTGCCGGCTAGCGACTTGTGGAGCTTGTTGCGGCTCTGTACTCTATTGACAATCGCGGTTATATGCGCCGAAAAGGAGAGCAGACTGCCGAAGGTGGCTCCGAGAATTTTTGGGCTTTTAACCGTCGAAATTGGTTCACGTTCGACGTGAATTCCCAGCTGTAGTCTGACCTCCTTCGTCCAGGTGGTAAAAAAGGGTTGCCGAGGATTTCGCAGGGGGAAGGTTAGGCTCCGTGCAGTGAAGAAGCAAGAAAGTTCGGAGAGGTAAAATCGTAAAACCCTCTGGTGGTTGAGGGAGCTTCGAAATGTAATAATTAAACAGCAGAGGGGACAAGATACCACTCTGTGGGACCCACTGCTGAATTTTTGTCGGTTTGCTGGTTTTGTCTCTGAAAATTACCGACGAATGTCGACAACTCAAATAATTCTCCGACCATCGTTTGAATCGCTGTTGGAGATAAGAAGCCTCAGTGTGCCCTATTTAGTAGCGTGGAGTGGCCTTTAACAAATCCAACGCTACTTGGACTGTTTTCATACAGGGACGGTTTCGATTCAGGCCATGAGTTATCTGAATGTTTATGGCGTTAAGTGCTGTTGTTGTGCTGTGTATGTTACGCAAACCATGCTGATACCTCTCTGAAGCCAGCTGATGCGTGTAGCGCGGGAGTATCAAGGCCTCAAGTGTCTTCGCTACCGGGGAAAGGAGGGTTATCGGGCAATAAGACTCTTCCTTGTTGACTGGTTTCCCCGGTTCAAGCAGTGGGACCACTCTCCTCGTTTTCCAGATATATAAAATGATAATAGCGGCCATTAATAAATTAAGGATAGTCTACACCCGCAGGACACTATTTTTTCAGCATGAGAATGCGTATTCCGTCGGATTCAATGGCTTTGAAGGCTTTCGCCTTCCCGATGGCTACCCGAACCCCCCGCTGGTGAAAGCAAGAGGCGGACTAGGTGTTGGCAGTTTGTGTAGCCTTCTGATCGCTCGACGTTGTGCTTTATCCACCGGTGTATGCAGCATAAACTGTCGGCTAAAGTAGCCCGCGCATCTCGCCAAGTCCGACGAAGCACCGCCACCGCGATTTCCACTCTTTCGTCTCGCTGCCTCGCGATTGACAAAAGGCGAAGTAACAAGTCTTCAGATCTTCTTCCCACTTCTTTCACTTATGTACGTTGGTCTTTACTCTCCTGAAAGTGCTGGTGGATATTTTTCTCAGGAGATCTATTCGAAGAGACTAATTTTTTTAATTAGCAAGTTGTTAGAAAACATGTTTTCTCCAAATTATTTTTATTTTTTTTAATCTCTGTATAAAGATATAGAATGGAATCTTTTCAACGCTATAAAATGAGAGCGGAAGCATTGGCCTTTTAGCTCCAAAGGTAAAAAATTATTCCTTCAAGAGAATACTTAAAAGTATGTTATCAAAGATAGTGTTTTTTTTTCAAATTCTTTTAAATTTGGTATGAGTTCTCTTTTAGAAGCTCGGTTTACCGGTCAAATGTTTTGAAAATTTTGGCTATACATGTATATACGGTATACTCCAATATGTATACTCATTGGAAGAAGATTAAGTTCCACCTTTACTCATAGCTGGGCACGTATTTTATGTTTTTGTAGTTGGAATTAGAAACTTACGTTGAAAAACTTATCATATTGGCGCCTACAACAAGGCAACTTAAAAACAATCGTATGGATGTATTCAAAAATAGAAGGATATTTAAGGTTGCATTCGCCTCATTTTTCATTAAAAAGAAAAAAAAACTTTTTTATGCGAAATTTTGCAGAAGAAATAATTTTCTTTTGGCGCAAAGAAGCGATAACACTGGATCACAAATTTGGGTCTTTTTTTGTTCCACAAATTAATTTTTTTCAATGGATACGTTTTCGAGACATTTGCAATTTACCGTTATTCAGTTTAAAAAAATGTGGTTTCACTTATCTTACGAATTAATTAAATCTAACAAAACTCTCCATAAACCGTATTTACACCACTGTTCGATAGGGATGATAGTTTCTGAGAAATTAATAAATCTATTCATTTTTTTTGTTTTTTTTTATGGAAAATTGGAAAAAGTTCAATCTTTAGCAGGGGGAAAAATACGAATTTTTGCGCTCGTATAAAAGCCTGTTCCTTTACAAAACTGAAGAAGGATTTTTTGTATGAAATATGACCAGGAAAGAGTGTTATTCATGTGTACATGGCGTATGAGTGACATTCTTTCCTGCTCATTTTTCGTACAACAAATCTTTGCGCATTTTCATTTGACCACTAATTCCACTTTTACTATCAATCGATTTTCTTCATTAGTATATAGCTTGATTTTTTATAACAGATCAGGCTTGGTAACTGTAATTTTTTCCTGTTAAATTTTTAATTTTTTTAATTTTTTCATTAAAAAATTTGCCACATTTCGCATATTGTTCCATTGGTTCGTAAGATATATGTGATTTAGTGAAAACATCTCAAAAACCTATCCATAGAAAAAAAAGTAACTCGATTTTCGCAATCAGCGAGCAGTTCTACTTAAAAATTTGATAGTGGCATCCATAGAGCATTTTTGTTGTAAACCAATGTAAACAGATTCTTAATCTGTGGATAAAATCCTATAGGAATTAGCTCTCAAAAACTCTGCCGCAAAATTTTATTGACTAGTGCTTTTATTTACATACATACATTTAGCATAAGTTTTCTTAAATATGAAATTAAAGCAAAATATTTACCTCCCTCTTAAATATGTCAAACTAATTTCTTACTTTTCAACTTTTCATTTACAGTATATGCAAATGGCTGCTGCCCCACAATTGGGAGTCGCCTCCTACAAACCAGACGCAGTCAATCAGGTGCAACCACGTGGTATCTCGATGATGGTCAGTGGTGATCCGTCTGTGCCATATGGACCAATGGTGCCACAACTAGCCACATTGCAAATTGGCAATTCCGTAAGTTGAAAAACATGTAAAATGTTAAAATAAAATTTGAGTGAGTAGCTTAAAAACTAACACTTAATAGGAAATGCAATGCACTCATTTTCGACTCATCATTTATACTCATAAATTAGGATGACATTTCATATTGAGGGTAACCTATGGTACAGCAATTGCTTTCATTTGCTGAAAATTTTTACAAGCAAATATTTGTTGATGATTTTTTTTTTCAATACATACAATGCAGTTTTTGTTGTGTCATAAAGTTTGCCTACTATTCTATGTATATAAATACAAATACTATTACTATTACGTGGACCAGCAACACACACTTTCGAATAAAGCACAATTTTTTTGCAAGATTTCGTGCACATTTTCCACTTATTAAAAGTTGTTTTTTATCAAACTTCTTTTGTACTCACATTCATAAATGGTGTGAAGAGTTTTTTATTTATATTTTTTTTTTTTTTTTGAAAATTGCAAAAACAATTTTATTTTGAAATATTTGCTCACTATTTTCACTCACTCCTCTACCCATTTCCATACACATTTTCTTGTACGTACATATGTACATATATACATAGTTACTTGTACATATGTACAATTAAAATTTCAAAATCAAACAAAAATATCTACGCATCATCATCGTTTTGGCCATTAATAAGTGAATATTAACCGTTAAATATGAAATTTGTTTTTCTTTCTTTATTTGATTTTTTTATAGAATTTCTCTCCATCATTACAGTATATTAGTCCAACTTATCCATATTATGCACAACCAACAATTATTCCAACAATGCCAATGACAGATTCCGAACAGGCTAGCACAGCTGCATCACCCGATGAGGCATATACACAGTATCCACATCCAGCCGCTCCCAAATAGGTCATCGCGAGGTGAGTGCGTGTGACTTAGAAACAAAAACCTAAAAAAAAAAGATACTGAAAATCCCAAAGAGAAAGCGAAAATTCCAAACTAAACTTACGTGATATTTTTAGTTTCTTTTTTTTTGTGAAATTCGAAAATAGTAGTTAATATTAGTTACTAAATTGCTAAAAAAAAATCAAATTTAGTGAATTTAACGGATACAATGCACCTTCCATGAACAAAACAATTTTAGATATTTTTTTTTAATTTTTTGGTTTGAATTTTTTTAACTAAGTTTTTCATTGAGTTGTCATTTTATCACGTCCTTTAATTAGCTTAAAGCGTTTCAATCAAAAAGTTGGCTACAAAAACAAACTACATACATATGTATTTTGTTATGTTTGGGTACGTTGCATGTAACTTAGCGTCTAGCGTACTTTTGACGTCCAACCTTTGCTTCTACAAAATGCAAAATTTCGAAACATCATCGTTGTTACATGAGCATCACTCATTTTAGTAGCTATGTAAGTAGTTCTAATGCCGGGCATTTCATATTGGTTTTTTTTTTTTGATGAGCGCAAATTTTTTCGCTTTTAGTTTTAATCTCATCTACACAAATACCATCAAACATATTTATATTCAGCCTTTCGAAGCGCCATTCGTTGTGCACTAAATTTTGCTTAATTAATTTCTGACATACTTTGCCGTTTTTTTTTTTTGTTTACTTTAGTTTTCTTCTATAATAAAGTTAGGTTCACCTGCCATGCCACGCATACATTGACATAGATACCTACCTACATACATACATACATACATGCATACATATGTTCATACACACACTCGCTAACTCACAATCGACTGTCATTTTCTTACCACTTTTTTCACCATACGCCATTTGCTGTTTACCGCCATCTCTTATGTGCATACATACAAACATACATATGTGAGCTGTGTCATACTGTGCTGTGCTTTATTGCTGCCTGCCTGCCCGCCTGTGCTTGTGCTTGTGCTTGCCTACTTTGCTTGCCTGTTTGTGCTTATCTGCTCAGAATATTGTGCATAGCTGCAACATACATAGATACATATTTACATTTTGTTGCTTTTTTTACACGCCCTCAATCATCCGACCAGTCTTTCTATTCAAACAAATTTTATTCATCTCTAGCACTGATTCATTTGAAGTATTCCATCATCTGCATCCCCAACTTTAAAAGACTGCATCGCATCGCTATTTTCAGCTTTTGTTTTTTCTTCTTATTCTTTTTTTGTTGTTAAATATTTTTGTTGCATTCCGTTATAGCATTTGACGGCCATTGCTATCATTATGATTTTTATCCTGCGTGTCCTTCACACCTTTTTTTGGAACATCATTACCACGCAAGCAAAGACACCGTTAACAATGCCAGCGATGCGTCCTTGTCTGTGCGAGCGTGCATTTGTACCTATGTATTTATGTATGCATAATAATGAACATACAAACATACATACATAACTTGCATTTATATACGTAATATTAATGGATTGTGTGTTCATGTGTACATATGTATATATGTAGCATATTCGTAGTAAGTGCGATGCTTAGCTCTCTATATTTTTTTTCTTTGCTACTAAAATATGCGTAATTCTGCTGATTTCAATCATCATTAACACTATAGTTTAGTGGTGTGCGTAATATATTATGCGCATTAATTTTTTGCATCTTATAGCGCATTCTACATTTCTTTGAAAATGTATGTACATACATACAAACATAGTGTGAACGATGTCTAATTGAAGACTGTGTTCAAAAAGCTATGCGTGAGAACCTCTTGAGTTTTATTGATTAAATTTTTACGAGTTCATAGATTAACTATTACTCATAATAGTACTCAAATTGTAATTAGTTTATTCAACTTAACTTTAAAAAATCAAATTAAATTTCAATTAAGGAAATTAATTAGGCAAAAAAAAATGTTTCAACATATGGGTGCCAAACGAAAGGCGGCTCAGATGGTAGCAGTTTGAAAATATTTTGAAGTTGGTTGCCATCTGCTTGAAATGTCGAATTTAGTTAACTTATCCAAAAGTTATATGAAATGTCAAAATTGGATGTCAAACTAAAGAGCCTTAAGAAGTCTTTGGTTTAAACATTAAGAATATTTTTGAGGTGTTGTAAGAGGGTTGCCACCTGGTTAAAAATTTATTTCAAATTACTAAACAAGTTAAATGTTTACAAATTTATTTCAAATTATTGAATAAGTTAAATGAGTTATTAAAATATGGGTATCAGTATGAACTATATTTAGCGGGGTTGCCACATGCTTAAAAAATAAAATTCAACTTAATTCATCAGTTAATTAAAATATGTATCGCAATGGAAGAAGAATATTTAAGAATATCTTAGCGCGAAACTACTTTTGAAGAGGGGTGCCACCTGTTTAAAAAGTCGAATTTAATTAACTTTTGCGCAAGTTGTTTGAAATATGAAGCGAAAGGGTGTTAAAATAACTCGAGTTTGAACATTTAGCATGTTTGAGGAAGGTTGCCACGTATTTATAAAATGGCATTCAAATTATTTTTTGAAGTTGGATGAATTATTAAAAAATGGATATCATCGAAATGATTTTGAAAAGGCTTTATTTCTGAAATATATTTAGTAGGGTTGCCACGTATTTTATAAGCTGCGTTCAAATTATTTTATAAGTTAAATGCATTTTTAAAGGATGAATATCAATCGAAATGGGTTTGAAAAGCCTCTCAACTGCTGGATCACGGTGCAGCGAACAAAGCGTGTTTCGCTGTAAGGTGAAGTGTTTTGGCAGTTTCAACACGTTCTTCTTTTCGCTCTATTCTTTGTTTACTTGTGGTACACAACGGGCCGGGCGCAATCTTGTGCTCGTATCATTCTTACTGCTGGATTACCTACAGTGATGGAAAAGTTGGTACAATAGTACCTTTATTTTGTTTGAAAGTACATTTTAGGTACATTTGGAACGTAGCCAAATAACTTCTCCTGAAATCTGTTCATATTTTTATTGACATTTCAATGCATTTTCTGGTGCGGGCAACTGGTCTAATAGCTTCCCTCCTTTGTGAAGAGGCATACAAATAATACCGAAGGGTGGTAAGGAAGTAACGCAATTGTAGTGGATTTCGCCAGATAGACGGAAAATATTTCTTTTTAAAACGTCAAATCGAAGAACTGGGAGGAAAGTGATTCACCTTTTCTACAACATAGTTTTGTCTCGCGCTGCTCGAAAAGATTATTTTCATAGCCAAAATTTGTTTAATGTGAGTACAGAAGGTAACATGGTACCCATGGGAATTATTATCCTCCTATTTTTCTTTATTTAGAAATACATATTTACTTTTTTGGTCCATCTATCTACTTTTAAGTAAAATTTTCCGTAAATTAAGTACGATTTTATAACTCAATTTTCCATTCCTGATCTGCTGTAAAAGAGGACCAGAAACAAACAGCTAATTGCTCTTTGTTCAATAAACATACCTCCAAGTCAAAATTAAACATACCTAGCAGGGTTGCATAGATAATCTGACACAAATTAATTGGCAATTAATAATTTGAATTTTTGTATGATAAATTGGGTAACAATTAAGGCTCAAGTTGATGAAGAGGTTCTTAATTGCCAATTAGGTGCCTGTTTGAACATAGTCTTCTTCATATTGAGCGCAAGTACGTTATACTTTTTAACAGGGACGTGAACCAGGTGAAAAATTTGGTCGGTTCGGTTCAGCGGTTCGAACCGTTTTTGCACTTTTGGATTGGTTCGTCAACGCGGTTTTTTTGGTCTTTAAACCGGAGTTTCGGTTCGGTTCAACGGTTCGAAAAAACAAAAAAATAACGCGCAAGTTTAAGTGTCGAGTGTCGAGTGCAACAACGCGCAAGGTTAAGGGTCAAGTGTCTGTCAAATGAGATGGGTTGCCTTTACATTATATCGTCGCTCCCAACGAAGAGTAGCACATCTCAAATTGCCGTGGAAGACTAGCACATTTCACTTTTCGCGTCGAAGACTAGCACATTTCATTATTCGCGTCGAAAAGTAGCACATTTCACTATTCGCGTGGAAGAGTAGCACATTTCAGAATTTTGCGTGGAAGAGTAGCACATTTCAGATTTTTGCGTGGAAGAGTAGCACATTTCACTATTTGCGTGGAAGACTAGCACTGTTCAGATTTTTGCGTGGAAGAGTAGCACATTTCACTATTTGCGTGGAAGACTAGCACATTTCAGATTTTTGCGTGGAAGAGTAGCACATTTCAGATACTCGCGTAGAAGAATAGCGAATTCATATAAAGTGGTACTAGCAGCCGTACAAAAACCAAACATACGTGTATGTAATTATTATTTCTCCTCGACTAAGCTGAGAGTTTAATGTTGTGTATGGAGCTTTTCGGTATTTTATTACAACAAGAATAAACGTTTATTTTCCTCCTACTCGTTTGGACGCATATTCGCGTCTTCCTCTATTTATAAATACGAGAAACATATATGTGCATTAGGGTGGTCCAAAAATGCATGTGAAAAAGTAAAGTCGGAATTTTTATGCTCTCACCCCCCAGGATTGTTCTATACCGAAAAAATATATCCCTATTTTTTATTTTGAAATCAAAAAATAGTTAGAGGTCGCTCAAAGCTCCCAAAGTTTCCCATGTACATATTTTATATGGGTAAATACACTTTTGGTAGAAATGGTATATAATTCAAAAAAAACTATTTTTCTATCGGAAAACTTTTTTCAGCTGCAGGATTCCCAATAATAATACCCAATTGTTTATTTAACCTTTTTTCATCGCAACTATAATTTGTAGGTCCGCCAAAAACCCCAAAAACCCCGAAAAATGCAATGGGGGACAAATAAAAAATCGTTAGTATTAAAAAATTGTTAAATAAATAATTGCGTATTATTATTGAAAGTCTCCTGAAAATAACCAGAGTTTTCTGATCGAAAAATATTGATTTTCAAAAATTCTATACCATTTCTACGAAAAGTTGTTTTTTCCCATACAAAAATACATGGAAAACTTTGAG